GCATAGACACATCTAAATCATAAGGATATGGAAAGGTTAAATATCAAAAGATATTACAAAATAATACAGTTACATAAAAGGAAATTTATGTAACTGTATTATTATCAGAAAAAAGCATTGCTGCAGACAAAGAGAGTTTAGAATATAATAATTCTAAACCCACGAGCATCCAATAATATAGCTGCAAAATATATCCATCAATTATTGACCACATCATAAGGGAACTTAAGAGTGTCAGTCATAGTGGGATACTGTAACATTCCTCTTTAAGTAATTGGTAGAAGAAGTAAATAGTTGAGTAAGGATAAAGAAAATATTCACAATACAACTTAGTCTAGTACACATGTGGAGAACATTATATCAAAAAGTCATAAGAAAGCACATCCTTTTTAATCATATACAGAACATTTTCAAAAATCTGACGATATACTAGGCCACCAAGTTTACCAATAAAAGCTTTCAGGAACGGTAACTTGGAATTATGTAATTGTGGCAGGAAATGTACTGGCCTGTACAATGATTGAGGCATCCAACACTGGAGGGGATGAAAGTTGATAAATCAAAGGATAATATAATTATATAGTTGTTACTATATTGCATTGATCCCTGCAGATGGATAACCAAAGAGCCGAGTGCAATCAACAAACCACTGAAAATGAAATGTGAGAGCCAAAGACCATGTCAGTAGTTCACAACACCTTCATCTCTTGCAATAGCCAAGCAGAGAAAGCTGAAGGTCAAATCCAGGGTTGAATCATCAGAATGGCTGAACTTCAAAGATAGTTCAGTGCTTAATCAAGGAACTTCCATTATGTCAAATTGAAACCAGAGTTGGAAAAATCTGAAGACTAGACACATGGAATGGGAAATCTGGATGGATGATGTCCCAAGACATTTCTAAACCTTCTGAAACTGCAGAAGTGGCCAATCTCTCCCATTAATAGCAGGAAAACTATATAAAAGTTTCCACATTAAGAACCTTCACCTCCACTCCTGAATACCAGTCCTGTACATAGTTAAGTCACAACAAAACCCACCCAGGGACATACTGGGCCTGATAAGGAAAAAAGGGACTGTATCATGAAGCAGCCTGGAGCTGCCAAATATCAACCAGGCAGCTGCTGCAAGAAATACAATTTAGTAAAGGGTTATGAAGAAAGGGCAAAGAGGCCCAGCCAGTGTGGCTCAGTGGTTGAGTGTCGACCCATGAACCAGGGGAGCACGGTGCAATTCCTGGTCAGTAGCATATGCCCAGGTTGTGGGCTCAATCCCCAGTTGGGGGGGGAGGGGGGTGGTGCAGGAGGCAGCCAATCGATGTTTCTCTCATCATTGATGTTTCTATCTCTCTTCCTCTCCCTTCCTCTCTCAGAAATCAATAAAAACATATCTCTTAAAAAATAGCCATGGGCTAGCTGATTCCTGGCAAAACAAAAGGGA